ACCCCTGCGCCCCCCCCCCATCCCCGGCTTCAGCCGCTCCCAGAGCTCCGGGAGGTTGGACGCAGCTGGCAGAGCCCTGCGCCTGGACTCAAGAGCTCCGGTCGGAGACTCTGGTCGGAGACAGCTGTGTGGGGGCCTGTTTCCTCATTTGTAAAGTGGGGTTAATGGTCTGCCCACCTCCTCTGGGGTCAAGGGGGTTCACTCCTGTGAGGCAGCGTATTCCGGGGACTCCCTCTGAATTCCTGACTCTCAGGCCCCCTCCTGCTAGACACTCGTTCCCTGGGAGGAGGGGATGTCCAGCTGCCTTTCTGAGCCCCAGCCCAGAGCCAGGCCAGCCTCCCCACCTCCGCCCCGGGGCGACCATACAGCCAAACCCTGCCCGCCCCCAGTCTCACGTCCCGGTGACCGAGGGGCCCACAGGGAGCACGTCTGAGTTACCTTCTCCTTGCCCCATCTCTCCCTCTCTCCGCCTTGGGCCTGTCCTCTCTCTGTCTCTTCTCCGCCTTTCTCTCTGGTCTTTCTGTCATGGTGCCCCGGTTTAGCAGGCACAGGTGGGTACAAAACCTCCTCTTTTCTTTGGGGGGGCTCCCTGGAGGGAAGGATCCTGGCGATGGGGCTGGGTGGGGCGGACGGATCCTGGTGAGGCCGAAATGACCCTCCTAGCCCGTGCCTCAGTTTCTCCGGGGAATCCGGGCAGCGATGGGGCGGGTGTTGTGGGAACAGGATGAGCCCCTGGTCCCTCTGCAGCCTTGTCCGCTCCCCACCGGGTTTTGGGGGGGGAGCTGGAGAACGGGAGGGGATGTCCTTTAGCTAATGCCCCTTCCCCCTGCTTGCCACCCTCTCCAGACGGAGAAGAGAAGTGGGAAGAGGCAGACGGAGCGGGAGAAAAAGAAGAAGATTCTGGCCGAGAGGAGGAAGGTGCTGGCCATCGACCACCTGAATGAAGATCAGCTGAGGTGGGGCCCCGGCAAGGGCGCATTCTCGCCTCCGCCACCAGGGGGCGCTGCCGCCCCGCACATTCTCCAGGGGCGAGTTTGGTGGGACTGGCGTCAGCAGGTGCCGCCAATTCCCGCCTGGCTTTCTGGCTGGGGCACTGGGTACCTGCCCCTGGGCCCCGAGCTCAGCCAGGCGGGCAGGTGGGAAGGGGATCTGAGCCCCTGGGGCTGGGTGAGGGTGAGAATGACGGCAGAGGAGGGCCCGTCCTTCCTGTCCTCAGCACCCCCCCACCCCCACTTTGGCCCCTGCAGGGAGAAAGCCAAGGAACTGTGGCAAAGCATCTATAACCTGGAGGCCGAGAAGTTTGACCTGCAGGAGAAGTTCAAGCAGCAGAAATACGAGGTGAGCCGGCCCACCGCGCCCCCTCCCCAGCCCTGCTCCCCCTGGTTTGAGCGGGTCCTACCTTGCTGCTGGGTCAGGCCCCTTCTGCGGCTATGGTGCCGAAACCCCTCCTCTCCACCCCCAGGGCACCTGGGACCTGAGCCGAGGGAGCCCCCAGGTGATTCTGTTTTTCCCACTTTTCTCACAGATCAACGTTCTTAGAAACAGAATCAATGACAACCAGAAAGTGTGAGTGTTTGAGTGCGGCCTTCCCCTGCCCTCGCCTCCTCCCTC